ATTATGCTATTAATGTAATTTCCATTTTTTCCCCTCCCTATTTAAGCTCCATGCTTTGTGCATCTCGCTCGGTTTTGGCAGTGCAGTGCTTTGATTTTCATTGATAGGCAGTTTTACTTTTCAATTTCAATTCCAGCTACATTTGGTTTGCAGGATGTCAGGACTTTGCAATTAAAACCAAAGCACATTGAAGCGAGGCAGGAGAAGCAACAGGCTAACACTTTCAGTGTTAGTAGGTTTTCTAAGGGTCGCTTTACAGCCTGGGGAAGAGTGGGCAAATTTGGTGCTTCAGATTGAATATGGCTACCCTGGAAGCCGAGGGGATGCTTTAGGGGGCACCTGCAGCGGTTGGTGTGCCTTGGGGTGCAGAGCGGCACCCTGATGCTTCACACCTCCCCGGAGGGGACCGACTGATGTCGGCTGGCGTCGCCTGCTCTTCCCCGCGGTCCTGCTGCAAGCGTGGTACGTTACAGACATATTGAAGGGGACGTCGGTAGCGCTGGCGGCTCCGAAAGGGATGCGGAGCCCGTTGTGAGCAACAGGCATCACTCATGACCGTGGAAGACGCAAGCCCGTTCACAAAATGTTTGCAAGCCATTAACCACAGCCCTGTTATTCACTGCTTGAATCTGTCCCTGCCACTTGGGCTGCGCCTTTTGTGGCCTGGCAGCCCCAGGCATGTACTTCTCTCTTCCATCCCTGTAAAGCTGATGCCAGGGTAAATACAAAGAGGGTAGCCTGACGAAGATTAGGAATATTTCAGATCTGTTTCAATTAGTTTGGCATAGCAATTTAATCCTCCTCTCCACAACTTCCAGCAGCACTGGCAGAGAAGAGGAGGCACCCAGGGCTAGAGACAGAGAGGAGTGTGGCACAGTGGGTGGGGGACAGTGCTAGCCATGGGCATGTCGGTCTCCTGCTTGGGAAAAGCAAATCCGTGATGCTTTATTGGACTGTTTAGAAAAGGCAAAATAATATGAAAGTCATATATATATATATATAAAAAAATTATATATATGTATGTTTTCCTATATGTCAGTTTTCTGTAGCTGAGGGAGAGGGTTGTTGCCGAGATCAGCGGTGTAGCCTGAGACGCTGTGTTATTTAAGGAGCTGATGCTGCTGGTTTTCAGCCTCCTGATCACAGACACAGAAATCTGTCTTAAAGTCATTTCTCCTGTTTTCACCTCTGTAGATTGCCCAGGATGCCCCTGCGTCGAGGCTGACCTCGTTGCAGTGGAGGCTCTGAGGATGTCACTTCAGAAAGAGGAAAGGACCTTTTTTGGGGGGGTGTTGGTGGAAGAAGGGAGAGGGATGTTAATAAAAGAGCCTGGCTCTGAGCTTATCCTCTCCCTAGCTCTTACGCTACTGCTCGCCTCCTTCACCCGCTGCATCTTGCAGGCTGTGGAAGGAGAGAGTCGTGGGGGTGGGCAGTGATGCCCGACCGACGGCCCCGCTGTTCCCCCAGCCATGGTAGGCACCTGCCAGCACAGCCTTGCCACAAGTTTTTCCTGCTTTAATATTGGGGAATAGTTTCTGGAAGTGGAGGAGCATGTGGCTCTCGTGTTCCCAGGCACCCTTGGGCTTCCCTGCCGGTCTCAGCGAGGAGCTCCCCTGCTCTGCCTGGGGACCAGTAAAAGCCTTGGTAGCCAGATCAGCGCTGAGCCCTCAAAAGGGGTGCAGGTGCTTTGAGCTTGCTCTTTTTGCCTTGTGTAATTTATAAGTGCAGCAGAGGCTGCGAGCCGCATTTGCGGTGGGTTGCTGCCAGGGCACCTTCAAATTGCAGGGCTTGGCTCCTGGCAATAACAGGATCTGGCCGTAACATCTGTAGCCAAAATTTCAGCCTGTCCCAAGATCTTTGAGTCTATTTGGAGCTGGGATTTTTTTTTTTAAGGTTTTTTTTTAAGCTTGAATTGGACTGTACCCGAAGAGCTACCACATATACCTGCAGCTCTTGGGAGAGCCCAGCAGTTGGGCTAACAGCTTATAGCACATTCCCAGTGGATTTGCATCCCACGGAGAGTTTCTGAGCCACTGTGGGCAAAGCAGTTACTGTGTCTGCACTTCATCTGCCCCATCAGGATGTGGAGGAGGGATGGGGAGCCCTGCTCTGGGGCTCTGGGGCTCTGGGGGCTACGGGGCAGCGGCTGGGGGGAGCTCCCCACACCAGCCCCACTGCTCTGTGATTCCCAACAGGGGGAAGCGTGGCCTGGGAGCATGGCAAAAGCTCGCTTTGCCACCTGCTTCACCTACTCCAAGAGTTAAAAGCAGCTTGGTGGCTCCCCGTGTAAGGCTGCAATGAAAATTATGCTTAAAGCACGGCTAAAATCCCTTTTCTTTTGCCCTTTAATTATTTAATTTATTTTCTATATTTAACGCAGTTGCTCTCCGTGAGTCAACTGAATTTTTCTGTAATATTTTTTTGCTCAAATATTTATCCGTGTTGGCAGAGGGAACATTTTAAAATGAGCCTCGCAGAGCTCACCCTAGATGCCCTGGTGTTTCTTCTTGCTTCTCCCGCTATTGAGCCGGAGCGGTTACTCGCTTCACATTTCCCACGTGTTTTCCCTGCTGCTTCCAATACAGATAGAATGTTAAATTGAAACACAAAGAAGAATTTTAATTTTATTCCTCACATTCACCACTTTTGTCTCGGAAAGTAAGGGGCCAGTGGGATTAGCCTGGTGCCAGCAGCAGAGCCCTGCTCCAGTAGCGCTGGCTGCCCATTCCCATTCAGCATCGCTGGTGCTGGGCAGGGATGAGGGATAAGCCAAAGCGAGCCTGCCGGAGCTCAGCCGTGGCGCTGGAAGTTGCAGAGGCCCTGCCAAATGCCTTGTGGTTTTGTTTCCCATCTCGATGGGGAAGAACGTCTTGTTCTGCTGCACCTTGCTCCCACAACCCCTGTGCCTTTTAGCTGCCTGGCCTCATATTTTAGAATAATGAGGCTTTTGCTGCGTGTCTTTTTGTAGCTATTTGGGTAGCGAGGCACAGGATGGGACTGTTGAACAGCCTCTCCCGGGTGACTTGTGCTGCCGGCGGAGGTGAGTGATGCTCGGGGAGCGCAGTTGGCCCCATAGCAAGCACCAAGGGCTGGAGCATGGTGGGCAGGTTGGTTGCATTGCTGGTAAACCGTGGGTGGTCAAGACGCAAGGGCAAGCAGGGTGCTGCCATGTGAATCCCTGGCGAATCCTGCCTGCTGTTTGCTCCCTGCCGACTCGGAGAGAGAGCTGTACAACTGGAAATGGTGCAGAGAGGGGGGACATGGGGTGATCGAGGCTTTGGGATGGCTTCTCTGCAAGAAGCAGGCTTGGGCTGCTTAACCTGGGATGGAGGAGGGTGGGTTGTTTTGGAGATCTGGAAGATAGTCAATGGCCGAGAAAGCATGGATAGGAAATACCTCCCGTCTTTCCCGGACAAAAGCTGGGGTCACCAAAGGAAGCTGGCAGGGGGCAAGGTCAACAGGGATGGATGCAAAGTTGCGACAGCATCTTCTAGGCACTGAAAGCTGCGTGGTCAGCTGCACTGACTGGACAGACATGTGGGAGAAAGGTCCGTGCAGGCGTTAAACGTGAAGATGGGAACGTGCTGGCAGCAGCAGGGTGCTTAGGGAGGTGTCCCTGTGCTCACTCATCCATAGTTTTCCCCAGGTCTTTGCTGTCAAGACTCTCATCAGAGATGGAGTATTTAGGCAGACGTGACCCAGCACTGCTGCCTTTCTGAGCAGCCCTTCTGTGTGTGGCTGTCCCCCTGCTCCCTGGGGGCCAGATTTCTCACTCCATGCTCCCAGCGCATCCCTGTGGCAGCTGTAGTGGTTCAGCTTGGAGGCTCTTTGCAGGGAAGGGTGTGTAAATGAGCAGGAAAAACATGGCGTGCATGCATATATATGCATATACACTGATATATTTAATTTAGCACATCCCTGTAAGAAAATTGGGCTGTGGAAAGCTGGGGCTGGGTGTGGGAATGAGCAGCTCTGGAGCTGTGGGCATGCTGCTCCTTTCCACCCGGGCAGGAGGCAAGTCTGCCATGGGGACCAAAACCCTTATCCCTCCCCTGCCGCTCTGCGCCGCTTTGGCTGGCTGCATTACGCCGCACGCACAGGGTCTGCGCGGTGGCTTCAACCAGGACATACCGACCCCTGGCCAGGTGCTGCCGTGCATGCTGTGCCCTGCCTGCACTGTGCCCTGCCCACACCTCACCCTGCCTGATGCTGCCTGCTGGGCAGAGAGCCCAGGAACTGGTCAGATGTCGGCAGAGAGGAGGAAGCCTTTTAAAATAACTTGTTTCCTTTAGTAGCACTCGATTTTTTATTTCCCCTCCCCCCCCCTTTCTTTTTCTGGGCTTCTCTGAACACCATGCTCCCCAGCTTGGTTTTAGAGCCAGGCGGTACAACGGGGTACAACCGCAGCCGTTGTGCCCGGTGGGGATGAGACCCAGGTTGCTGGGCAGATGCTGCTGGTGCCCATCTGGGGCGGGGGGGAGGGTGCCCCCCTGCCGCCGGGGTTGCCGTGCACCCTCCTCTGAAGCATTCAGCGGTGTTAAGAGACAGCTTACTGGGGACCGTAGCACAGCACAGACCATTAGTCTTGCTGAGTATAGCTATGATTGTACTTAGTGCTGCCTTCCTATCTCTCGTTGCTGAGCCGTAGAGCACTTTGCAACGATTAATTCAGCATGAGACTCTTAAGTGAGCATTATTGCCCCTATTTTAGAGCAGATATAAAGGTCGCTGGCAGACCAAGAGCAGAAACTCTCTGCCATACAGATGTTCAGCAGCCTAGCTGTCACAAGCCACCGGTACCTCTGGCTGGCCTTCTGTCTCAGCACTTTTTTTAGGTCCACTTCGTTGCCCTTGAGATGTTGTTCCTTCTGCTGCAAAAAGGGGGGATGCATTCAAATGCTCAGCTGTACCCGGTAGTTTAGGGTTATAAACGCTCTTTGCCTGCATAAGAGACAAAGTCTTGGCTTGTGTAACCAGTTATTTCTGGTGTGTCTCTCCAGGCATCTGCGTTGATGTGGGCAGCAGCAGCATATGCTGCCGGCTGCAGAGGGACCGGTCCCGTCGCCATCTGCGTGCAGGCTTGCTGGGGCTGCGGCGGGCGTTGCAGCTGGGGCTCTGCATCCCTGCCTTTCCCAGGGCCGTGCACGAGCTGGTGGCAGGTCATCCAGCTCAGAGCTGGGAGCCTACGGTGGTGTGTCCACAGCTCTTCGTGTCTCATGAGAGTTTCTTCTCCTTTGGGCTCCAACGAGGGCAGAAAGAGTATGAAAATGCTTAGCTGGAGCTTGCAATGCTCAGCTGGAGCTTGTGTTCTGGAGGTGCCTTTACAAGCAGTAAATGAAATATAAAAGCAGTCAGGTGGGTTTTTTTTGGAGCCATGAGGACGAGTGCTAGTTGAGATGCTCAAGCCTGCCTGCCCCACGACTGGTAGGACATCTGCATTGACTGCTGTGTTTTTGGGAAGGGTCTGTGGAGTAGCAGGTCTTCTCCATCCACAGAGTTTCTGCTCTTCACCTTTCCTTCCACGAGGTGGTGTGGCTTTTGCTTGCTCTGGTGTGCCTATCAAAGCCTGAATATACCCCTGTGCTCTTTGTATCGCCATCTTCTCCCCTCCATTCAAAGGCACGCCGTGGCTGGTGCCAAGGGCTCGGGGAGCAAGGAGAGGTAGAAGCATGCCTGTGGCTGGGAGGAGAGAGCTGCTGAGGGATGTAAGAGGACGTGAGGGTGGAGAAATGAACCAGTGGATGCCCAGCACTAAGGGAAACAGCATCACCAATTTGGGGCTTGATTCCATGTGCTTTCAGGTACATCCAGGCAACAAAAGGGTTTTGTTTCATCGCTAGTTATGCAGACCCATGCAGGGGTGGTGTGGGAGACTTCCCTCCAGCTGTGGAGAGCCTCCCTGCTGCGTCCACTCCCCACCTCCCCTGGTTTCCACCGGGAAGCCTGGCTGGAGATGTGGCTCCTATGCAAGGAGAGTCCCTTGCCCCTGTAGCTGCGGGCCATCGGGCACTGTAGTGGTATATCCAAACCTGTGGGCAGAAAAGTTTCCACCATCTCATTTCCCTCTGGCTGGGAAGACTGGCTTCTCATTTCTTTGCAGCTACTGTCAGCAGCAAACACGACCTCATTTGTATTATCCCATGTCTCATCCCACCTAATCCTTAATGCAGTGCTGCTGGCAAGGGGAGCATGTCGCTGCGGGAGCAAGGGGGATCAAAGGCTTGAGGGCAGGCCGTGGCCCAGCTGGGCAGTGGGGCTGCCCAAAGTGGGTCCAGCCCCGGCTCTCTGCTCCTTGCGTTGTGTGGGGAGCTTCCCCTCTCCCCACTGTGGCTTTCTGAGAGCAGGGACCTTCGCCTTCAGCAGATATTGCACAGCTTCTGGTGCAGCTAACGTGTTCACTTGGCATGAAATGCTCTTCGTTGTAGAGAACATCAGGTTGTTTTGGTGCTTGCCTGTTTGAGTTTGGAGGTCCTTGAGGTCTTGCCTATCAACTTCTTTCTGGTAGATGGATGGGCAAGCCTTTGGTGGTGACACCTCTGTGCTGCTATGGCCAACGCATGGAGCATGTGTTGACTTGCCACCCAACTGTGCTGTGAGAAGCTGTACAATACCTGCAGCTACCACCTCCCTCCAAGCCCAATGCTGCCAAAGCATCAAGAGCCAACCGATTTATGGGGGCTTATTTCTGTCTTGATTTGAGCCCTGCTGCTGGTATCACGCTTGCTCTGCTTGCCTCCTCACATCGTGCGCTAATACTAAATGCCATCTACAGGAGTGCTTTGCTGTCTGCATTGAAGAGGATGAGGTTTGGGGATTTGATGCATTGAGGTGCATGGCAAGGCTCGCTGCCTCTGGGCGTGGGCTAGCTATGGAGTGTGGAGCCGGGCAGGAGCGTGCTGGGAGCCGTTAGCCATACTGCCTCGCTGCAGCAGAGGAAACGTCCTTCTGCGTCAGCCAAGGGGGCTGGTGCATGCCTATGCAGGAGCTGCCCATCAAGACTTCCATGCTACGTTTTCATGACTGATGACTCCAAAAATCCTCTTTTCCTTATTGCAGTGGAACGTGTGTGTATGTGCGAGAGAGAATCAGTGCCAAACGCAGATTTTATTTTTTTTTCCGATCATAACGCCAAAGCTCGGTGCCTGGTTGCTGGTTTCCATCCAGATCTCCATGCTCTCGGGAGGTGTTTTGAGGTTGCTGCATCAGGTGACTTAGCAGTGGGTTTGGTTTTTATTTTTATTTTGAGTGGGTTTTTTATTAAAATTCTTTTTTTTTTTTTTTTTTTTTTTTTCTTCTAGAGATGTGCAGAAATATTGATCGGATGTTGCCAATGTGTTAGGGAAAGGGGGAAGGGAAGGTTGTCCTGTGTCTCTGGGCTGTAACATAGCAGTGCTTTTTGAACCAGTGTCCTCCCCGGTGTCAGAGCTCCAGTGATGGGCCCTTGGTGGTAACACAGCTGTCCTCCACATTACAGATGTCATTTGCTACAAGCCCAGTTACAGCTTTGGTTGGTTTTTTGGTTTTGTTTTTTTTTTTTTCCCCACCCTCCTTCTGTTTCCCTTTTGCATCTCTGATCTTCCTACCAATGTGGGGAGCTGTGCTCGTGCCTTCTCATGAGCACAGCTGGAGGGGACGGTGGGGTGTGCGTCTCCATGCTCGTTTGCCCACTTCTCTTTTTGGGAAGGATAATGCTGCTTAAGCCTATCCCTCAAGGGCAGCAGATGGCTTTTGCAATGGCAGAAGGGGGTCTTTGCTCCAGAAGAAGCTGTGATTTTTTCCCAGCACCGTCTCTTTTCTCCCTGTAGGGATGATTTTTGGAGTAAATTTACCCTAAAATATTGCTCAGGCCTTGATACAAGCTTTGGCCTTTGCTGCCAACTCTGGGTTGTCCTTGGGCTGTCCCTGCTGCATGGACCTGGAGTGTCCCATGCCTCTGTCACCATGCCTCGCTGCAGCTCTGCTCAGTGTTTGCTCGTGCGAGCAGCAGTGCTGTGCTGCTGAAAGGTGGCCAGACCCTGGAGACCTGCCTGTGATCTGCCTGGCCAGGTCACACCAGCTGTGCCCTGCCTCTGGTCTCCATCCCCGTCCCCAGCTAAGCCTGCATCAGCCCAAGGCGCAGCACTTTCTTGAGGCTCCCGCAGCGCCTGTGCCTGTGGCTGGCAGGGACCTGCAGTCCTTCCTCAACAGGCTTATTTATTTTCTAACTCAGCATACCTTGGTACAGTGCATTTCTCACTAGCCAGTGTTGGTTTTTTTTATTCCTATTACTGAGCTGAGATAGGAGAAGGTTGGGCTGACACATACGCTCTAAATTATGCTGTATCTCTGGTGCTGTCAGTCATGTTGCTCCCAAGCCTGGGATCTTGCAGACGCTCCAGCAGCAGGTACCTAAGGATCAAAGGTTTAGATCAGTTCTTGCTGTCACAAATGTTTTATATCTAATTTCTCCTTGAGGAGAGTTGTGGGAAGGATGGGCTGACAGCTGGGTAGTACATGCGCCCTGGAGCATCGTCGCTGTGACCTGAGCTTCATCTCCCTCCACCTGTGTATTGAAGACCAGCTCCGGGTTACAGAAACGCCTGTCTCTCTGCAAAATGTGTATGTGTGAGATGAGGAGGTGGGTCATGTTGAAGCCCTGGTGCTTTTTGTTGGTGGGACAGGCGGGCACCGGCAGGTCCCGTGCTCTGGCTGTGCACTGAGGGCTTGCAGGATGCCCCACAGGTCAGTACCCCACAGCCCGCGCTGCCCTTGCCGGCTATAGAAAATCCGCCCCAGCTCCTTCATCCCCTCGTTGCAGGGTAGGGCAGCCCACATGTTTTCTGGTGGTGCTTTTAAATATGTTGAAGAGGTCCTGCTATGACCGAGATTTTCTCTGCCAGTACCAGGGTAGGTACATGGCATGATTTGGTCTGGGCTGGCCCGCAACACATCACTGCACAGTGTGGATCCACCAGGAAAGCTCTCCAAGAGGGCGTGGGGCATTTTGGTTAGTCACCAGTGACGGTTTTCCTCTGCTCTTCCCACTCTGCAAAGAGTGAGAGATGGGAAGAGAAAAAGAGAGATGGGAAGAGCTGCTCAGTGCAGGTGATGCTCCCTGGGGAGCCTCCCACCAAGCGGGAGCCTTGTGAGTTAATTGTAGCAGCAGGGAAACCGAGGCATGGCTGGGGGGGAGGCCGGGGCTTTTCCAGAGCTGGAAATCAATCGCAGGAACAGGGAGTTTTGACTGACGGCATTTCTTGTCCTTGCTGAGCTCCTTCCTTGGAGCAGATTGTGCCTTGATGCCCACTTGGTAAAGTTCTGCTCCTCAAAAGCAGTTAGCTGACAGAGGGAGAGGGAAAGGCAAGCTCGTGGCTTCCTGAAGACAACTAAAGCCATGCATATAACTGCCTTGTGTATTTGCAATTATTTTATTTTGCTTGAATATCTCTTTTTCTAATCTCTAGGTTTTTTTCCCCCTGTTAGAATAAACCAAGGTAAAATAAAGGCTGAGCTTTCCCTCCCTTAGAGGCACTTTTCCCTTCACGTTAATACGCTGCTGTTATCCATCACCCCTCGTTGCTGCTCGGTTTGGAAGGCCGGCCGCTCGGGGAAGGATAGTAGCATTAGTTTCTAAAGCTGTGTAAAGATCCCCATGGAAGCAATTACCAGACAGATTACCCCTGGCTTTGCTGCTGTGAAAAGGCCGCGTCGGGTCAAGGATGCCGAGTGTATTAACAGCACGATCCCTTCCTTGCTCGGGAGGTGCAGTTCAGATTAGCCGCCTGCTTTTTAAAGGGCTGGGTTCAAAGCAGGACTCTGGCTGCTGGCTCTTTTACCCGTCCCTCCCTGCTCCCCTTTCCCCCTCCTTTTCCCCTCAATGTGCCCCATCCCAGGCTGTCCTCCGGCATGTGGGACCCACAGCTCCATGGGGAAGGGGGAGACCTTCTTCGACCTCCAAGATGCTCAAGCTCTGTTGTTTGGTAGGAGCTTTGGCTTTTAAGCAGAAGGACGAGCAAAGCTTAGCTGGAGACCGAGTGCAGCTATGGGCCTGCTGAAGCCTGGGAAGGCTGGTTTGACCTTCATGGCTGGGAAGCAGCCCATGTCCATCCTGAAAAGGCACAGAAGGAAAACAAAACGCTGTCTGTCCACGCAGGAGCTCCCTTTTGCCATGCTATTTACCCACTGTGGGTCTGGGCTCTTCCCAATGTGTTTGACCTCTGATGATCCTGGGAATAAGCTGAACCTGGCTGGCGCGGGGGACACACGGGATGCTGCTTTCCTTTCTTTCCCAATTATTACCCCATGTAATTGCCGGCGACCTTCAGGGGAGCAGCTCTCGGGCTCACCCACATTGTGCTGCCAGCAGACGGTGGCACTGAGCGGTGGCAATGGGCTGTGGAGGGGCTGCCTGTGGTGCTCTGGTTAATGTGGCACAACGGCCACGAAGATGCTCTCTGCCATCTCCTGACACCCCGGTGAGCCCGGAGTGGGGTGCCGAGGGGAACCCTCTGGCAGGGGGCAAAGGGGCTCAGGGGAGCTGGCATCAGGCAAGGACGGAGAGGGCCCAGGGGAGCTGCGAGTGTCCCACTGCTGGTGGGGGCACTGGTGAGGACCATTGCCATCAATCCAGGGGGCTCACCACGGAGCAGAGCTGCTGCCAGAGCAGTGGTTTTCCACCTTTTTTGGTTTTTATAAACCTGAAATCTTAAAAAAAAAAATATTCTTAGTGGAAGCAGAGACTCTCTGGTAGACTCTTAAAACCTATTTGGTCTTGTTTGCTGTCCAAAATTACTGTTTGCAGACTCATTAGAAGAGTTTGCAGCCACCAATGGGCTCGGGCTGACCTCGCTCATCCTTTCCTGGGGGACTGTGTGGGAGCCCAGACCTTTTTTGATGGAGGCTTGGGAAGACCGATGCGGCCTGAGCACAAGCAGTTGAGTGTGAGCAGTTGGTCCAAGCAGTCCCATAGCGTCTCAGGGGAGCTGTGGGCAGGGGGAGGAGGAGATGACCAAAAATCTTCTCCATCCACCTGCTTGACTCCCGGCACAGACAGAGGTACGTCTTCTCTTTTCTCCAGTCAGCAGCTTGGTTTGTGCTGACCTCCTAAATATTCGGCTCATTATACAGTGTAACGTATAAATAAAACAGAAGCAGGCAGCAATATTCTCCAGGAGGATATAATCGGCTTCCTTTCCTTTTTAATTATACAGGATTTGTCTTCATGTGCCAGTCTATCCTATGGGCTAATTTATTATTTTAAAGAATTAAAGTCTGTGTTCTTTATGCAGTGAAGTGCTTCTGTGCGTGTGTGCACCTGATTTTGGGGGTCCAAGAAGGAAGAGCATCTTTCCAAGTGGGAACACATGGAATTTTGTAGCTGGATGTTGTTTCTAGAGGTCAGTGGCCTGGGTCTTGCACTCCTCTCCATCATCACAGGGAGGCAGGATTGGAGATGATGGAGGTCACCATGGGGATTCCTTGGGATGTGGCTGGGGCATGCAATGCTGGCCAGCAGCGTGCGTTGCCTCTCCCTCTGCAGAGGCAGGGCGGTGGCCTGATGCTACAGCCAGTGGACAGGAGCATCATCCATGCATGAAGCTCAGGCCCAGGCTGCCTGCAGGAGGTGGGGGTATATTTTAACCTGGCGCTGCTGCCAGCATGGCAAGTGCTTGCTGATAAGCGTGGTGTGAACTCTGAGCTGACTTGCTTTCTCCTAAGGGAAGCCCTGGAAACAAAATTTGGCCTTTCATCAAAGCAGTGAATCTGTCATCTTTCCCTCCTTGCAACTCAGAGTCCCCTGCTCCTGATCTGCAAATAAATTCCCCATTTTGGTGGCTGCCCTGGCCATCCATTTTAAAATTAAAGCTTTGGTACCCTTACTGGAAAAAGCATCAATAATTCTCCAGTGGCTTTTCATGCCGTTGTGTTTGGCTGGAGAGTTTAACAGATTTAAACCTCTGGAGGATGTTTTTGACCCTGTATATCATTTACTGCAGATACGGACAAGAAGATACACAAAAAGCTGGTTCTAGCTGTGATCAACTTAATGATGGCCCAGCTGCCCTAGCTCAGGGACGACTCTTTGCACTGAATCAGCGGCCAGCAGCCTGTGCTGATGCTAGCTGAGCGTCGGGATGTTCAGAGGAAGACACTGGAGAGCCTTCTTCAGAGCCCGAATGGGGATGTTTCCATCCAGGCAGTGGTTGCAGCTGTAGTTCTTGAAGGTCAAGTCTTCTTCCAGTTCCTGAAGGTCAAGTCCTCTTCCATGGCCGCTTTCCAGCCTTTGTCAGGCCTGTTGCCTGATGCAGTAGGTGTCTTGACTGTGTAAACGTGTGTGTGCAGTACAGGAGAGATCCAGACAGTGCCCATGCAGGAGTGGGCATTAGAGGGTGGGTTGGAGAGAGATGGGTAAAGGAAACTGGGCAGTGGGCAGGGAGGGCAGCAAGGGTGGTGATAGCATGGCTATCATAAGTGAGAAAGTGGGATGCTTGCTGGAAGGTCCTCAGGGACTCATGTTCCCTGCTGAGCTAGCAGAGGAGGAGGCGGTGCTCCATCCTTTGAAGCTGGAGCAGCGTGCCTGTGGATGTACGCGAGCAGGGAAAGGTCAGTGGCAGCGAGAAGCTTAATGGTGAATGCTCAGAGCTTCTCCAGGGACCCCAGCTGCAGGACAGGCTTTGCTGGAGAAGTGCTTTGCTTTAATTAGGTATCTGTATTAATATTTTATTTGATTTTTTTATTTGTTCTTTCTTCCCCCAGCAAGTGGGGTCAGAGCAGACTCAGATCTGCAGCTCTCCCTTGAGAGGCAGTAAATCACCTCTGAGCAGTGGAAGGTGCCGGTCCTCCTTGGGGCAGGGTGGGATCCTGGCAGACGTGGGTCTGCTGTGCATTCCCATGGGGTCCCAGAGGAGCTGCCACCAAGGTGTACCTGGGTACTGTGCCCAGGTACCGGTGCAAAAGGAAGAGGAGCTTCACAGCCCTCGAATGAAGGAGCTGGAGCTAAAATCCCCACAGGGCAGAAGACTAATTAAGGGCAGATGATAGCCGGGGCCCAGAGCTACCTCCGTTTCCGATGTGTGGTTGGTGTCAGCACAAAGCTGGAGAAGATGGCCCTGAGCCAATGAAGCACTTAAGCAAGTATTTAACTTCAAACATTTAAACAGGGATTTCTGTGGGCTTCTCCAAATGCCTGGAGTCACTTAAGTTTGCATTTACGTGCTTGATTGGCTTGGGAGCTGTGCAGTTTGGGGAAGGGGAATAAGAGAAAGGGGGTGTGGGACGTGACCCTTTGGGGGTCTGTGTTGGTTCCCTGGCTGAGCGGTACCCGTAGCACTGGAGGATGGTGCTTCAGGATGGGTGTGAAGCCTGGTCTCAGGAGATCCACAGCCTACTTTTGGCACCACCATGTGCTCTTTGGACAGGGCGAAGACCATGGGCATGGTGCTCTGTCTGTCTTCCCCTTGTATGTTGGGGATGAAGCCATCGGGATGCACAGCACTGCATGCACAGGGCTAAGCCAAGCCGCTGGGCTCTGGCATTGGGAAAACTACACCAAAGCTCGACTGAAGGATCTTGCACCTCAGTGCTCCATCTGGGCTGTTTGGGGAGACAGGGAAGAGGACAGAGGCAGCGTGATGCTGCCCCGCTTCTTGCCCCTCTGGGGCTGCTGTCCCTCTCAGTGCATGCACTGGGGGATGAGCAGGGATGAGCCGTACCCAGTTTGAAGTATTATAATCCTTTCAGATGGCATTAGCGCCTCGGCCAGTAACAGCTCTATAATTGAACCTCCTGCTTGCAGGGGCCCCGCGCTTCAGCGAGACGTTTAAATCTCATTTGTATAATGCCTGGTTGCAATGCCTGCTGAAAGATTGCCCTCCACCTCCAGTGGCCCCGCGCTGTGGTGAACACGCACGCATGCTCTGACCGTCCACAGGCAGAGGAGCGACTGAGCGTGGCCGGGCAGCGACATGCCACAGGGCATCCGAGTTTCTAGAGTTTTTGCATGTTTGTGGGAGCTTGTGCTGATGTATTTTTTTATTTCCCCTTCCCCTCCTTTTTTTTAGTGCCTGAGTCTCAGGAAAGGCAGGACGGAGGCTCAGCACCGAGCGCTCAGTGAGGGATTATGTAGGGATGAGATTTTTCCAGGGAAAGCTGGGTGCGTGGCAGGCTGAAGAGCTGTAGAGGCACATTTGGCTGCTGCCAGACCCCCTTGGGGTCATCATTGCACCTGCACAGGCAAAATCCCTTTACCTGGCCAAAGACTGGGGCTCCCTGGCAAACGCCGGCAGCTCTGCCTGCCCGCTGGGCTGGCTTGGGTTTGCTGCCTCCTGAGAGGATGCGTACGGTGCCAGTCCGTTTCACCTTGGTCTAACAGCAACACTCAGCAGCCCCAAGAGGAAACTGGCTTTTATTTTAACAGAGGCTTAAGTTCTCTATTTTAAAACAGTGCCACAAAAGAAGAAAGTGAATCAGAGTCCGCTTTTGGCTCATGCTGCCCACTCCTTTTCTTTCTGGGCAGCTGGAGGCTGGCCCTGCAGACCAGTGTGACCTGCCTGTACCCGGTCACCGCCGGCTCCGCTTGGGCCAGGCTTTTCACCCGAAATGCCCTTTCCCTGCTGGGCCGCCTCACCACGGCCAAGGTGCTGCCGCAACGCGCCGTCCCCGTCCCTGGTGTCCAGCCTGCTCTGGCCTCCCGTGCCGGCCAGGGGCTGCCTGTGGGCACAGGCAGGAGGGGGCAAAGCATCCCATGGGGATGCTGCGGGTCCGCAGCAGCAGCCGGCTGGGTCGCTCATTCCTCCTTCCCGCTCCAGCGATCCCTGCTGTACTGTAATCACACAATTATTATGCCATTAAAATGTCATATTCGCAGAAATCCACATAAACAAGGCATTAGCAGTTGCCAGAAAATTGTAGTTTTACTGCTAATGACCTGCTCTCCCCCCACAGCACCACTCCTTTTTTTTTTTTTATATTTCAGAAAATTTTTGTTTTTCTGCTAATGCCCTGCTCCCCCCCCCCCGCCCCCCCCCTTTTTTTTTTTTTATATTATTTTTTCCCCTTTTTTTTTTTTTTGTTTCTGCGCAGTGATTTAAGAGGCAGATGATGAATTACATCTTTGCACCGAGAGGCTTTCAATCTTTAATGTACAGTTGCAGTGAAAAGCTGCCTTCGTGCTTGCTCTGGGGGTTTGCTGTTTGCCCTTCACCAGTGGTTTTGGGGGGGTGCCTTTAGCAAGCTGGTGAAGGAGAAGACTCTCGGCGAGCCCTGCTCTCGGCTGGGTGCTGGCATGAAATGGGAGCTCCTCTCCACAATGAGTTTTGTCCATGTCTCTTTGCCTCAGGGGGGTCCCCTCTCATTAACCCCCCCCAGGGACCCCTCCGATGCGATGTTGGAAGGGGCAGCACTTGTTTGCCGAAAGCAGCCGGCTACCCCTTGGATATTTTTTCCCTCTTTCCTGCAAGCTCATTGAGTCTCTCGAACTCTTAAGCATTGACTGTGTTTCCTATAATTAATACCAGCCATTAAACTGCAATATTGAAAGAGAAATTACCTAATTCCAAGTAAAAAAATGAAAATTTATTACTAGTACATGAGAGAAAATGAATATGAAACTTGGAGAGAGGAGCCCTGTAGAAGATAAATAGAAAGGCAAGTGGAGTATTGACTTGATCCTTTTCTAGTGCAGGGTAATTTGGCTTCTAAAGTGAGTTAGATCATAATAAATTAAATTTAGATTTCTGCACATCAGTTAAATAACTCCCAAGACAGAATTCTGGTGTGAGGAAGAGGTGATAATACGTGGCAGAAACGTTATAATGAATACCTTATCCAGTAACCTGTAACTGATGCGCTGTCCCCAGGTGGGTGAAGGGGATTTCTCCTTATGCTTTAACTTGCTTTCCCCATCCCCGATCAGGTGCCAAGAAACAGGCGAGTACCTGCGTGCAGGTCGGGGAGATCTCCTACCTTCCACCACTTGCGTAGCTTGGGAGCTTTTCATCCGAGGCCGCTGCCTCGCTTTCCCTCACCACTTTGCGCAGGTATTTTTTTGCGGAGGTCGGTGTGCGTGTGTGTCTGAGCATCCTGCTCCAATTTCGGTTACCCTTGCGGGGAAGCTTGGGATGGAAAGCTGAAGAACACCCAGAAGATTTGGACAGGAGATGTGGAATTGAAAGCAAATGACCAAACCCGGGTATCTACTTCTGGCTGAGAAAGTTAACCCAATCCCTGGGCTTGTTTTGTGGCCAGATAGTGGTTAAAATAACTCTTTTATCTCTATTTGGCATCTATTTGCTCTTTATCTCAGATGTGTATTTAGCTACCTGATATTTAGGAACAATCCTACTGATAGTTTTCCTTGACCCAAAAAGGAGAGCCTGGGTGAGTCAAGGTGGGCTGATGTCTTTCAGGTGGAGATTTCACAGAGTTACTAGTTATTCACTGAGGTGTGAACCAAGAATGCAACCCTTGGATGCGGGGTATATCCAGGGCAGGATGAGAAGCAAATGCCATGGGATAAGGCAGTGGTATTTGTCCATGCATCCATTTACTACTGGGATCCCCCAGTAACAGGACAGTAGCAGGGACAGATAAGATGCTGGGGAAATGCCGTCCCAGACCTCGAAGCACGTGCCAGGACCCTCCTGCATGCCGACCCCCTGCTTCTGCTGGGCTGGCCAGAGCCTCGCTGGCCTTGCAACATGTGCAGAAGCTCCAGTTTTCCTGGAGCCACAGCTGCCTGCGGGCACCCTCCAGCCCTCCTGCTCGAGCCATCGGATGCTTGCCCAGCTGCACCCTTCTAGCTGATCCTAGGCTATTGGGCTTAACTGACATTAAAAAAAAATCTATTTATACATCCAACAGCCTCAAGTGCTATGTGGCTGCTTTTAAAAGCCATTTCTCTTCTTATTAAGTTTGATAAAACCAACTTTTGCTTTTCTTCACAGCATTAAAATTTAGGGACTGCAACTCTGTAGCAGTTGTTTTAATGGTGCCAGGCCCCCCGGGGTCATCATGAAATCTTATAAACGTCAGAGTGTTGGTGTCTCCAAAATGCAATTGGCTCACTTTTCCCTGATCTTTTACTGTGGCAGTAAATCACGTTTTGCAAGATGCCTTAGAAAAAACATAAACAATATTTATCACCCTGTGTACGTTGGTCCTCCTGAAAGCCCACAGGCGGGTTACATACATCCTCCTCGTAAACCTGCTGCAGTGACCTTACTGGTTTCATAACTTTCTCCCAGCCTTGAATTACTTTCTCACAGTATGGGTGGTGGCTTGGGGGTTTCTTCTGATCTTCCCTGCACTGGGGTAAGTGCTGGAGGAGCTCCTGAGAAGGTCACAGGGTCACGCTGGGGGAGAATGAATACGGCCCTGTATCTGGAAACCCCTGCATCCCTGAGCTCTGTTGGCTTTTTGGGGGTGCTTGTGTTGCTGTGAAGTGGTGTGGGGCATCATGTGGTTGGAGGCACCTGGCTTGGTCCTGCCATGGTTCATTTGCAGGAGCCGGTGCTCCCTCCCCTTCCTACAACTAGAGAAAACCCGCTGCCTGATGCAAGTAAAATCAATTACGGGATAAAAATTGCCCGTTTCAAAAGCTTCATTTTGCGCTATTAGCAGGCAAATTCGGCTTTGAGATGGTGTGAACTGAGGAGGGGAAAAAAAAAAAAAAAAGAAAAGAAGAAGAAAAGATCAATTATTGGATAAGATCACAATTTTCTTTGGGGCTGAGATGTCTGTAAATGTTCACATCTCTCTGTGTTACACGTAGGCTGAGATCAAAGAGGTTGTGCTGCTGTAACGATGAGATCTTATCGGCGCCACATTGTGCTTGCCAGCTCCGGCAGCGGCACTGCGCTGCTGAGGGATGCTTAAACCCCCTGACAGCAGCATGCTGCTGAGGGATGCTTAAACCCCTTGATGGCTCCAAGCCGCCAAGGGATACTTAAACCCCCTGATGGCTGTCGGAGCTGTCGGGTAACCCCGAAATGCAGCTCCTCCATCCTTTTGGAGCGGGGGGACCACATGGGCACATGCTTGCCCACTCTCCTCCCTGTGGTAAGGCTGAAGTCTTTGATGGGAGACTCGTTGTGGCAAAGACGGACCGAAATCGGACTGGGAGGACGATGGCCCCCTTCTCCCAGGGTCCTGTTGCTGGAGCCAGCTCTGGGGCCAGGGTACAGCTGTGGAAACATGGGATTGTGCTTGATGAAACTACTCCTGCCTGATGGCCCTTTCCAGCCTGAAGGGTTACAGGGGCGATGGGGCATGTGGTGTAAAATACCTTTGTTTTTTTGGCTGGAGAGAAATTAAAACCCTAACAAGACCTTTGCACTTTTATATTTCTTGAGACCATGCTGCTTGAGAAGCGGATCCACCAGAGACCTGAATTTGGTTTCAAATTAGTCATTTTAAATTCAAATTGGCAGACTCTCTTTGACATGCTGTTTCAAGACCTAAGGAAAAAAAAAAAAAAAACTGAAGACCTAATGAAGCTCCTTTTTAGCCTGCTCTTGCGATGCTTGCCCATGCCGCAGGGCTGACTGACCTCCGGCGGGGCTCGGGAGGACCTCTGGAGCGGGGTCAGGTGTCCTCCGGTCTCTCCTCTCTCTAATGGGGCTGACTTTGTGCGCGCAGGGCTCGGACGTGGACTGGGACGACCTTTGGGATCAGTTTGAAGAGCGGAGGTACCTGAGCGCCCGGAGGTGGAAGGGCGGCGAGGACCCGTACCGGCTCCATGCCTTTAACCAGCGGGAGAGCGAGAGGATCCCCAGTGACCGTGCTGTCCGCGACACCCGCCATCACAGGTTCTGCCTCCCCCCGATTTCTCCTGGTCTTCCTCACGAAACTTCATTATATGGGGGGATAGTCCTGTTCCTCTTCAGGGCCGTGGTTTTGGGATGCTAGGTGGGTCTGGGCCCTTCACCCATGCCCAGTGGGTGTGCTTGGGATTGGTTCTGCCTGGGTTGTATTTTTAGGATTGAATCTTTCACTTTACTTGATTTCTTGGCATGTCTGGTGGTCCTAAACCTATTAATGAAAACCTGTATAAATTATTCCAGGACCATAGGGAAACAAAAGAAAAGCCTTTTTTTTTTTTTTTTCCCTTCAGAAAAGTAATGGGTGTGCAAGAGCGCATCTCCACGATGAGCAAAGTCTTCACTGGTGCTGGGAACTCTTGCTGTGCAGAGGACGCAATGAGATGGTGCAAGGGGGATAAAGTAACTGTTGAGCGCTTATTTTGCTCTGCAGAGAGAGGAGCTAATGTGGGGAATAAGGGCCTGTTGCTGAGGGAGGGGGAGAGGAAGGTAAGAACTCATTGGGTTACTAGCAGCTCCAGCACCATCAGGGTCAAAAGTATCCTTTGGCTCCCAAAGGACCTCTTGAGGGAGGCAAGGAGGATTGCAGGGAGGGTTGCCTTGCAGGACCTGCGCTCCCCTGCTGCTGTCAGTGTGGGAAGGGCAGGGTGGGAGTTTTGGTGCACCCTCTCTTGCCGTGAGCGCAGCTGTAGCCTCCCTCCAGTCACCTCTCCAAACGCATCGGGGAAGAGCTGCCCTTCGCGGCTGCAGGTTGTTGATGGTCGTTGGGATTAATTGTTAGTCTCCTGGATGGAGCAATGCCAGGGTGTCCTGCTGGGGTAGCAAATACCCCCAAGGTTCTCTCATTGCAGTTTTCTTCCTCGTCCTCTGAGGGCACAGCATATGCCTGGCCCCCGCCGACGGTCCCCAGCACACAGGCGGTACAAGCCCTTCCCAGGGAGCTGTGCCTGGCATTACGTCCCAGCCCACTGGCAGCAGCTGTCCTCTCCTGCCTTCTCCTGGGAGCCCTGTGGGGGGAAGCCCTGCTCCTGTGGCAGCCCGGTGCAGAACCCAACCCTTGCTGTCCAGGCTCTATGATTCGGAGCAGCCCAACACCCGGCATCTGACCCAACTCTAAATTTCCCCTATTCCAGTCTAAATGCGGCACTTAGGCTGAAATGCTGAAACAGCACCAGTTCGCCAGCCCTATAGCAAGCAATGGTGGTTTTTTATTTATATATTTTTTTTAGCTCCTTTTCGTGGTAAGGACCAGATGCTTCTTTCTCCAGAGAGGAGCTGTCAGCCCTGACGGATGCCTGTTATAGCTGAGCAGAGAGCGAGTTTGCTATTCCTGGAGGGTATTAATGCAGGGGATATTAACCATCTGCCCTATTAAAAGGGAAGATCGACTCGGCTGCCCCCTCGCCGTACCCCCGCTGCGCGGTGGCAGCCACCTCGTTCCTGGGCGGGTGAATGCGGCGCTGAGTGCTCCTGCGAAAGAAAAGTTCTCATTAAGGAGGAAGCGAGGGCACAGCACGTGGGAGGGGCTGGGGCTAATTGCATTTGCTTCCAATTTCCTTAACCCGGTAATTGGATTCTGATTTATTGAATATGTCTGAACAATGCTGTGGATGATGCACCATTAGCCGAGCATTAGAGCGGCCACAGAGGAAGTGGGGCTACCGGGAGATCTGGGGGAGGCAGGCGCTGATGGGTGGGATGGAGCGGGGAGAAGGGTCTGGGCTTGGTGTCCGAGGGGGAGAAGAAGGTGCAGAGTTTGCAAAGCCCTCTCTGGAAGGAAAGCCTCACTCATGGCACAGGTGTCCAGGGAGCTGCCGCAGGTGATGCTGTGGCACTACTGTGCAACCTGGGAGTGGGTCCTGAATTACCCAGTGGAGCTGGGGGGGAAAGCATGGATGAGCATGGCCTGCTCTTGGAGTCGGGAGAAACTGCTGGTGGCTGTGCAAGAACATGTAAAGAGAGTCCAGCATGGGGTTGACTAGGAGAGGTCCCTCCTGCGGAGGGGAGAGCTGAGTACCGCAGACCGTGCTAGCGTGAGAGATGGGAAACCCGCAGGGCTCACACTGCATGACCTGCCAGAGGCTGTGCTTAGAGAGAGACTTGGTTTGGACGGCAAGCCTGGCTTAGGCTGCTTTGTGCGGGCCAGACTGAAAGTGTTTGGGCTTGCTTGTACGAAAGCAAACCCAAAGAGTCAGACCTCAATTCTGTTTCAGCTGACCTTGGGGGAAGGTGCATCCTAGCACAGACCCCACACACGGGGCACCACCATGCCGGGAGCCGTGCCGAGGTGCTCCTGCCCAGCTGCTATTCCTGAAGAAGTTCACATGAGGGGCAGGAGACTTTGGAGAGGGTCTTACCCACCTCTTGAGCATATCCCCATGGGCAAGCAGGCTCTCCTTCAGCCTCTCAGCCAGACGTTGGTGCCTGAAGCAGCTTGCTCTGCTCTCCGACCAGGTTTTCAGCATGTTTGCTCTCTATCTCTTATCCCCTCTGTACAACATGTGGCAGCACCAAGACTCACAGACCTGCAAACCATGGTAATGCCCAGAGACCAGCACCTCATAGTCCTGATCCTAGGGCCCGGGATGTGGGATGGCCGCTCCTTACAGCCTCTCTGTGGGGTGTTTTTCACCAGGATGGCTGCAGAAGATTTCCTGGAGTTTTCTTTGCTAATCCAGCCAAGCACCTGGACTTGCCAACAATAACTGAATGTACAAAATCTGGCAAGGGCTGAGCATCAAGCTCCTTGCCAGAAGGTCACGGAGAGGGCAAATACTTTCGGTGGGGTGGGATGTGGCACTGACAGCCAGTTGCTTAGCAATGTTTGCTGGATTGATTTTGTTTTTAAATTGCAGCCAGTGGAATGGTTTCAGATGGAGAGGAATCACAGTGTTCTGAGGAACTGGAGCTAGAGAAGCCGTGGTGGGTCACCTTGCCTGCCTCTGGCCAGCACAGGGCTGTGAGCCTGTCCTGGGTTTGTGGGTGAGTTCAGCCAGGGAAATGCCATGGCTTCTGGGGACTATGTTGTGTCCCTCGGCCTGGGAGATCTCACAGCTGGACCATCGCTCCTGGTGACCCGCCTGCATTTCCCTGCCGTTAACTGCGTTCCTGGTTGCATGTTGACTCAGCCCTTGGACTACGTGAAGGGATGTCTTTCTCCAGGAGAAGACCATATGTGGTCCTGTGGTGGTGTATCACATCCCACCAAGAGCCAAGGTTAAAAAGTCCCCGTGCCCATAGCAGCAGGCTGGACCCAGATCTAGGTGGCATGTCCACGTCATGCACAGCCAGCTCATGCTGCTGGAGTGGGTGGCTAGTCCCGCTCCGCCGCGGTAGCCACACGCCATTGGGATTACCTCATTGCCACATCCCACCTTCTGCAACTCCCACCGGCAAACCACAGGACCAAAATGGCAGTGAGTGAGTCAGCGCCAGGGGAGAGGAGCTGAGGTTTCCAGTATTGCTCAGCGGCTTGGAAAGCCGACAGGGAGGATGCGTCGCCTCCAGCCAGAAGATTTCGTTGTGATGGCTCCCAGGCTTTTTCAATCCGTGGCAGACAGCTCCCAGGGAGGCCGGTATTCGCCACGTGGTCGCTCCATATGCTGCTTAGGCTGACCTCTGCCTCTCAAACGCTCCGTTGGGTTTAATAGATGTGCAGATGCTGTTGTGACTGCCAGGCTAGGCTGGGACCATGAGTCGTGGCCAGCACCAACCTGAGCTGGGGTTTGTGCTCGCTGATGGTGGTGAAGCAGAGAGATGAAATTGGGAATGAGGAGAGTAGATGAGAGGATAGTGGCTGGAGGAGAGGTAAGAGCCTCCAGCAGACTTCTCTAGCTATTGCAAATCATGTCAGCCAGCCTCTGGCGTCCCCCGCTGCCTGTTTTCCTCCATTTGTCTCGCTTTTTTCCTCTGCAGCGCCGATATGAGTTTAGTAATGCTGTTTCAAGAGCTGGTAAAGCAAGGAGGCCAGAGATGGAGCCCTCTCAGATCCTGGCATAAGGCAATAATCCTCCAAATTTTTGAAGCTCCCCCACCCCCCAGGTCCCAAATGCTTTACAGGAAGGCCCTACCTACCCGGTTAATCTTGAATTTTACAGCTGCTTGAGGGGGTGCGTTCGTGTGCATATGTGCATGTCTGAGAGAGAAAAAGCAGCTGCTAAAATCAAGTTGTGATTGAAACGCGAGGCTGGCAGGGATACCAGCAGATATGAAGATCAGGCATCGCGTTGTCTGCTGAAGATGAGAGCATCCTGGTAGCCCGGGGGCCTGGTCACGCCAACTTGTGCCCCCTAGAAAAGCTCTGCCCTTATAGTCTGTCCTGTTCCCTTTGCGGGGAACAGCACACACCTAAGACTTCCTCCAGGTTTCCTCACTGAAACCACAGTGCGGTGCCAGCTGGAGAGTGTCCGTTGGGTGGGAGAGCTGCCTAGGGCTAGTGGCTCTGCTCATAGGGACTGTTCATGGAGGGATGGGAAGAGGTGATGCCTGTCATGTTCCCCTGGGGCAAATTGCTGCTGTCTTGAGTTCTCAAGGTCCAGAAAAGTCAGGATTTCAGCCCTGAAGCACTACATGTTGCAGTGTTAATTTGACCCACTCACGGCAGCGTGCATCCCATGGGTGCAGAGGCTGCACGTTCGGTGTTACGTCGCAGCAGCTCTAGTTGGGGTAGTTGAAAATACCTGTGCTGTGGGTGGGGATGACCGGGAGGAGCCCACTGTCCCGAGGGTGGTGCTGCCTCCCCCAGGTGTTGTACCTGCCTACATAAGCACATGGGGCTGAGCGTGCATCTCTGCCACTGCGCACCTTCCACGTGTCCCCGTGTCCTGTGCAAACACGTTTGGCGCATGGCACGTGGAAGAGCACGTAGGTGTCTGCGTGCAGATTGCGTGAGGGCAGCTGTATCGCATGCCGGTTTTGAAGTGGCTCCGTTTTTGGCTGAGTTGATGATTGCATCCCAGGAGTGGCAAACAGTCAAGTGCACTGAGAAT